AGGTACGTAGTACAACCAATCCTTTGCTGCATTCTTGAGGGAGAAAGGGAATGCTCTAAGTTTGATTTATTCTTCAGTAATCCCTGGAGGTTTCATACTAGAATATACCATATCGAACTCTTAGATATGTTTATGGGGTTCCTTACCCGAGAGGCCATGGAACGTGGATAATAAATGAATTAATCCTGACTTTAGTTCGAAGGAGGTATTCTCAGCCAGAGTTGAAAATGTAATGAACAAAGGCTACTGGGTCAATTTCGGAGCAGCCAACTCCCTTAATGTTCTTGTATTCGTCATAGGGATGTCCTCTTGGTCTGGATCATTTGAATTTTTACCACTCAAATTTGTTGACTCAACCTCTAGATCCAGTCTCTGAGATGCAATGCTAGATTGCTCTTCTCTGAGCTGTCTGGTATCTTTCCTAGTTTGGCACATAGTCTTCTTTACTTCTGGGTCAAAAATCAATTCATCTGTACGAGAAGAACGAGGCATAAACTAGAAAAATGCTAGACAAATCCAAAGAAAAACAACTTAGAAACAAAATTAATCAAAACACCGTTCCCCGACAACGGCGCCAAAAATTGACAGGTGTCGAGTCTGTACAATAATAATTACTAAAAAGTCCTAGTTACTACCACAATTAATTATAGAACAAATTCAAGTACTGGAGCAGGGACTCTAAGTGTGCAATGGGTTACTTGATTCATCATGTTCTCGAAGAATTTGCTTGATCCGATATATCAGAATTGTCTATAAAAATATTAAATTTGCGTAAAATGGCAAGTAGGGTCGATTCCATAGGGAACGGATAGGAAGTTGTTTCATTCCAAATCAATAGAACAAAATTGGGGGATATTTAATGGAGTGAAAATGAAAATAAAATAAACAAAATTCAAAAGCTAACTTACCAAGTACAATTTACTAAAAATTGCAATTAATAAAATTCTACCCAAAGGATCAATTTTTGAGGCACGGTTCAATTAAATGATTATTGATGCAAAGATATTTCCTTCATTGGTCACTAGGTTGGTTATAGCCATCAACAAGTTCTGACAGCCAATTCTTTCTTACTTTTTCGATAGTCAAGGTACAACCGTTGACTGCTTCTCTAACCAGAAAATAACCCTAAGTACGACCGTAGGAATTTAATTATCCAGTAGCATTAAAGCTAGACAAACTCAACCCTAACCAATAAACACGCTACGAGAGTTTATTTAAACTAAATCTTACGTTTCCCCAACACAAAGCCAATTATGGTGGTTGTCACTAGTTGTCAACTAAACGAACAATTACGGATTCAATTTAATTAACGTGCCAGTAGGCTATTAGATTAAATTAAATATCTGGCCGTTGATACTCAATTAATAAAATAACCATGAACAATTAATTCAGGAAATGCACGAATAGTAACAAATTGGAAGAAATAGTGAAAGTTCGATTAGATCTCATAGATGTTATGGACCGCGCCTTCGCATTAACCCTTGGGTAGAAGAGAAATCTAGCCGCTCCTCATCATATCGATCTCGCGTGGTTTAATTAATTCCATCCACACAATTGCCAAAGAATTGAGAAAGATGAAATAATGAAGAGGCAAACGAAAAGTCTTCCTTCTTTTTGTTTCGTGTTCGTACTGAAGAAAAGTCAAGGAAAGGTCTCCCGAAAATTGTCCAAAAGCAAAAGCAGAGAGTAACCAAAAAAATCATCTATCCCTAAAAGAAACTAAAAGCCAAGCTAATCTATCACACGTGATTCTGGCTTTGTTTCTATTGGCCGCCGAAAAGAAAGGAAACGTCTCCAGAACAAAAGCAAAAGCTAATCTCTTGATTACACGTGATTCTGGCTTTTTAGCCAATTTCCTCACAATAGCCGCCGAAAAGAAAGGTAAGCGTCAAAGTCCTTAAAGTTTTATAGGATTAGAGTTTTTATTCTCTACATCTCTGCGGCTTACGAGCCTTTTGATTTCCCAATTGCCCACTTTTGCTACCAATCCAGTAGGGTCCGTCTTTTAAGTGTCTCTCTTCAGTTTCTGGCGTGGGCCTGCCATGAAATAAAGAGTTTTCTGGAAATTTGCCTCAGGAGAGCACTTTTGACACCAACATCCTACAATTCACACAAATATCAAATATGAGCAAAAATTCAATATTTAGCATAGTGAGTAGCCAAAATTAAGACCAAATAATAGCAAAAAAGGTGCCCAATAATTGCTCTATCATTAACCATTCTTAAAATGTAGTTATTCTTTTCTACAAAAAGAAAAGAAGTGATTACTCAAAATGTTGTTGAAAATAAAAGCATGCTTTATCTAGATATTTTTTAAAAATTGAGTTTTTAACTTTATAAGTCAAAATAGTTACATTTAGCTTGCCAACAATTTCTCTGTACAATTGATTTGTTGTATAGTTTCATACCGAGGTTATGCTATATTCACTTTCCAGATTAGATTTAGATTTCTCATTTTTGTTCATCAATCTCATACTTGTGTTAAGAATTAAGATTTCTATGTATAATTTTAGAAGCTTAAAGGCTTGGGCCATCGCAAATACTTTAGACATCGAAAAGTAATGTATATACTGTTCTTTGCTCTTGTATTTTGAGTTTCAAGTAGGGGTTTTATTTTAGGACCTTTAAACCCAAATATTACCCTTTTAAGGTACCTTACAATCTCTTCAGTTATATTAGATTCGGTCTAGAAAATATTCAAACCCTGAAAACCAAACTTGTAATCGTCAAATCCCTAGAAGTAACCACTTAAACTTGGCATCACGCATATACAGTGTGATAAGTGACTAATTTACGTTTTAATTGTATGATATTTTATATTATTTTTAATCACTTTGGTTATATTACTGGAGAAAAATGAATCATTTTGGCTATAATTGGTGAAAAATGCTTTTAAGTAATTAAATGAGGTTTTTATCACTTTTTACTTGGATTTTGTGCATTTTGATAGTTTTGACATATTTTTGTATTTTGGCTATAACTTGAGCTACAATGATCAGATTGAGATGACTTTTAAACCAATTTGAAGATAAGAGATAGATCTACAACTTTAGTGAAGACATCTGAATCCAGTTTGAAGGGTTTCCAAGTTAAAAAGCCGAATTACAGTAGCTAATTTCTATTGGTCGAAGCTGAAATAGGGCAGTAAGCAGTTAAGGGTATTTTGGTCATTTATCAGCCTACACAGATCCAAATGAGATGATTCTTAATGCATTGGAAAGCTAACTCAAAGATCTACAAGTTTTATGTTTTGGTCAAGAGCTAAATCAGCTTTTATCATCAAGAAAAGTTCAGTTGAAGTAACGCAAAATCAGAGCAGAACTGGAAATTGAACAAAAGTGCACCAAAATGTCACTGTAGCAAACTTGGCCGGATTTGTGGCTGGATTGTGGTCAGAGAAGGCTGCTCTTTAAGCGGAAAACTTATTTTCACCTCTAACAAATCACTTGCAATGCTAGACATGTGAGAACTACTTTGCAGCTGTAAAAGGGTGATATAGGCCTCATTTTCTTGACTTCTTTTATCTTTATATAGCCAAAACTTGCAAGATTGAAGGAGAAGAGAGACATACGGGAGAGAACTTGGACTGGAAAAATGTAGCTCTTCCATTTTTCTTAGTGTAGGATAGTAGTTTAGACAGTTCATCCAGTCTTGTTTATTAGCTAGTCAAAGATGAAGATGAAGGATGAAGAAGGCAAGGAGATGAACTCATGTGACAAGGGTTACATTCCTTCCAAACTCTTTATCTTTTGTACTTGATTCCAAGTTTAGTTAATATACAAGTTCTAGATTTTGTGTTTAATATGTATCTTTAAAGTTTATGCCATGGGTTTGGTTGAACTTTCTATGATTATTAGTGTTTATTATTTGGTTATTTGATTGCTATGATTTGAGCAAGTTATTTAGCACTTTGCCTCTTTAAATCATGATTAATCTGGTACCATTAATTGTGATTATCTAAGGTGTTGTTTCTGCAATGAAAATTGAGATTTAACACTAGTTTAAGAAGTGCTAAACATAGGGAGTACACTCACGAGAGTAGAGGTGCACCTATGTGGTTTTAGTGATTAATTTCATGTAATTTCATTGAAGAAATGAACTTGTAACTAATTTCATAACCATGAGAATGTCTATGGATTAGTTATGAGTATAGTTGATTCACTACGAAACTAGGTTTCGCATGTTTAAGGAAATTACACCATAACTAGCCTAGATAGTAGTACTCAATGATCCAAAAATGACAATTGCATGAGAAGTTAGGGATACCATAACCTAAGGAGTTTTCATTTGTTATTTTGCATAAGTTCAGTAGGTTTCATTTCTTATAATACATTGATAGTTTAAATAATAGAGAAGCTTTAGTAGTACCGGTAATTGCAATCTTCCTTGTGGGATCGACCCTTAATACCCTATACTCGCTCACGATTCGTATACTTGCGACAAATCGCGTGTAGGGTATTTAGGAGTTTATAAATGTAAAATTTGATTAGGATGAGTTTAATGTTATATGTATACCCTACGCCCGTCACAGTGCTAATCCCTGCCTTCTTGTAAGTCTTCTGAAGGTGTTGTTAAACTTCTACAATAGGCCAATGTCATATGTTTAAGATTGACACTTCATTCAAATTAAGAAAATATTGGGAGTTATTGATGGCCCTAATGTTGAATGTTTGGATTTGGAAATAAAATGGGAGCCAAGATGACAATTGTTGATTTTGGTACCAAAAGAGTCGAAAAATCCAAAACAACAATGAAGAAACATGTTGAAAACAAGAAGAAGACATATCAAAAGTATGCTTTGATGTTTAAGATAGGCAACATAATCATAAAGTTATTACAAACAAAATCTATATATTGCATGAATGCTTGCAATCTAGGGAACTTGATTCTACAAAGCTTGAATTTCATCACCTCTTCCTACTAGTTTGATGCTTCAATTACAAATTCTGATCTTTTGATCGCCTAAAAGCTCACTAGTTCTTTCTCTTTATTTTTCTCTTTCAGAGATTCGATTGGACAACAGTTTCCTTACGGAATTCCATGTAGGCTACAACAATAGATATCTGAAAAACAAAGACACTTTTTTATTAGAACTTTATTAAAAGTTTAAATAATGTAAGTTTGAGATAACAAAATGGTAACGTATATATTCATAGCAATCTTAACAAGTAAATGGTTTTTTACATAAAAGGAAATTGATTACCTTATATTCAACATTATTGCCAACATCATTTACTATATACACGTCTGGATTTAGCCTGAATTGGTGTATGTACCAATTGGTACTTTCCCCAGGACGTTCCATTCCACAATAATAGATGAATTCTTTCTTGTAGCCATCTACTTGACCATCAATGTAGATAGCTTCTTCAGATGTAGTCGTCCAATAACCATCTCCAGTGAACACATTGTCATTTGGCTCTACGGTATAACAAAACCATTTCTCTCCAGTGCTATACTCGCACCTATCTACAAATTATCAAAAAAATAAAAGCTTTTGAAATGATTAACAACTAACTACGTTAACTCGAAATGACAATTAATATAATTATTAAGAACAGGATCTATTGGATGCAAAACTAATAACCAGGTGGATAAAGGAAATGTCTAAACATCGACAGATGCTGATGATAATTAGAAAACCAACAAAGATGGCAAAGAGAGTCCTTAGGAAAGTAGAAGGCAGATCTTACCTGCCCTTGAGAAAAGACTATAGAACTTACATAGGAAGTTCTCTCTAATACATTTTTTTTTTTTTGAAGCTGTACTATAACGCTTTAGTCTAGCTTATTATTTAAAGGGTCTAAGAAGAGTTGATTCTAAAGTATTATTGGAATAAGTAGAGGATGGCTACCAATCAGCAAGTGATAGATCGGAAAGAGAATGACGTTTACTAATAATAACTATAATAATAATGAATTGTGATCTAGAATCGAACTTTAGACATTGTACAAAAGAGATAATAGCTTTTAATAAATCAAATCATGTTTGCTGACTCCTACATAGGTGTAATGCAAGGAGATTTAACAATGTATCTTTTATTTTTGGATAATATACCAAAAAACTCCTTGTGATTTACTAAATGTTTAATTTAATTCCCTCTGGTTTGGAAACTTACACTATAATTCCCGGTGATTTCAACTAATTTGAAAATTGGACAGAAAGTATCTAATCTAACGGTTATGCGTGAGATATCAATATGTCCCTATACAAATGAACTCCCTATGGTTTGTCAAATATTTAATTTAACTCCCTCTAATTTGAAAAATTACACTATTACTCCCTGTCATTTTGACTAAATTAAAAATTGAATGGAAAGCATCTTACATGTAGTAGGGGTAATATTGACATTTCACACACAACCGTTAGATTTGATACTTTTTGCCCAATTTTTAATTTAGTCAACACCATAGGGAGTTATAGTGTAGATTTCTAAACTAGAGGGAGTTAAATTGAACATTTATCAAACCACAAGGAGATTTTTGGTATTTTACCCTTTATTTTTTGGGAAAATCGTTCAAAACATCTTTGACATTTTACAAAATGGCTATTTTCGTCCCTCACTTTTAAAAATATACTTTTACATCCTTTACAAATTCACATTAGTCAAATTTAGTTCCTATCTAGATTACCGACTAGTTTTTGGTTGGAATCCACCACGTATCTTGCGCATGATCATTTTTGAAGGGTAAAATTGTCTTGTCAAACCAAAATTTACATAATCCGATCCATAATCCCTTACATCTCACAAAATGAATTTTTTTGTCCCTCACATTTCACAAAAATAAATTGTTTGTCTCTCACATTTTACAAAATGAATTTTTACATCCTTCGTATTTTACAGATAAATTTTTTTATCGCTCATTGAATATGTGTACGAAAAACTTTTTTTTTAAACTTATGTATATATCTATTTGATTTTACTTTTACAAAATAAATTTTTTCATCCTTTATATTTTATAAAATAAAAATTTTCATCTCTCATTGATCATGTGTACAAATAACATTTTTTTAAACTCATTTATATGTCTATTTAATTTCACTTGAATAATACGAATAGCATGTAATATATCTTTATTTGATTTTGCCTGAACGTACTGTTCAGGTTACGTTCAGGCGAAATCAAATAAATATATACAGGAGTTTAGAAAAATTATTATTTTTTCACTCATGTTCATTTCCTTTTATTCAAAAATTGAAAATAAAGAAGACATTTAATCCTAAACATTATCAAGTGTTATATCGAATTAAATTTGGACAGAAAAATAAACAAACGAAAAGTATGACAAAAAAAAGTAAGTAATTGACACTTTCAAATTTTAAACAATCATAAGGCAAGAAATTCAACTGTTAGTCTTAAAGGTGGCGAGTAAAAATTTCAGATTTAAACTGTAATTTGTTAGCATGACTATAGAATTCCAATTAGGATCAACTAATTAGATGGTCTTATTACATAACTCAATAAATGAATTATTACCAAAAGAGAAAGGTTACAAATATTGAATAGAATCAAATGGTAAAATCAAATAAATATATATATGGATTTAAAATAAAATTGTTAGATTTAAACTCATGTATATATCTATTGAATAGCATGTATACAATTATAATTAGTCTATTTAGGTGCAATCAAATAAATATATATTATATGCTATTCGTAATGTTCATGTGAAATTAAATAGATATACACATGGATTTAAAAAAAAAACTATTTGTACACTGGTTAATGAGGGATGAAAAAAATACATTTTGTGAAATGTGAGAAATTAAAAAATTTATTTTGTAAAATGTGAGAGACGAAACAATTCATTTTGTGAAATGTAAAGGACTATAGATCGGATTATATAAATTTTAATTTGACAATTTTGTCTCTAAAAAATAATTACATGCAAGGTAGATGATGAATTCCGACAAAAAACTAGTCAGAAACCTAAGTAAGGACTAAATTTGACCAATGTAAATTTATAAGGGACGTAAAAATACACTTTTAAAAGTGAGGGACGAAAAAAGTTATTTTACAAAATATGAAGGACGTTTTGAACGATTTTTTTTAAATTCATTTTGGGAACATAACAATGAAGTTTAGACCCAAAAAAAAAAAAAAAACTGTAGCTCATACTGATGTATTTCACCACAAATTCAGTAAATATTGTCCCCCTGTAGTTTCTAAAGCTTCAAATTTGACAGATTTCTCAAACCCAAGCCCCCACACTCTTTCAGCCAACAACGCCCCTACTACTGCTGTGCAGCCTTTCCTCACGATGAAGGAGCCGCACCCATCAGCCAGGCGGCCACAGATCATGATGCACTCTTCAGTGATCGAGCTCTCTTGCGCCAAAATGAACGGGCAAAATTATTTGCCGAAACCATGGGATGTAAAAATATATCAGTAGGGGAGTATGAGTAGCTCGAGCAGTTGAAGAATCAACCTCGAGCCATCCGTCTACCAGATTGGGAAGAGGTAGAGAGAGGGACTGATTTAAGCATATGCAAACCAACTCACTCAATTCACAATCGAGGAGTGCCTCAGCCTAGAAAAGTCATTTTACAGCCCCCATTCTAAAATTCATACTTGCAGAATCCGGATCAAGTCTAATCCAATCACAAGGTCGTTGAACCAAAAAAATTTCACAAAATTATTCCTTCTGATTAAACCAACATGCATGCTTAAAAAACACTAATAAATAAAAAAAGAAAAGGAAGAAGAAATTCAAACTTCATCCACGCTGACAAAATTACACGCTTCCAAACAAATTTCGTTAAATCCCCTCAAAATTACGGACATGCAATTGAAGAATCGCAACCAAAATTCCAGATGAAAGGGAGTTGATCAGGGCTTGTTCCGAAAACATCAGCGGTGGGAATATAGTCAGGCAAATCATCGCAGCCACGCATAATTTTGTTCCTCAGATAAACCATCAATTCTTCATCGGTTGGGTCAAATCTACATCCACAAGGGACTTCAAAAGGGGCCCTTTTTCCTCCATTATCGTCATTTCCCCCCGGCTGAAGCTGCTAATGGCTTCTCCATTTCTGAGGCCAAGAAAATTGTGAAAATGAATGCTTGCTGGGCTTTTTAGTTACAGAGGAAATACGTTGTGGTTATCTGTTTGTACACGACTTGAGAATTGAGGAAACACGTTTTTGTACTGTCCCATGAAGAAAAAGCCAAGTTGCATGCGATAAAGCTAGGTGGCAGTGTGAGACAAGTTCTTGATGTTTTGTACTTACGTTGAACTGAATCATCACTTTGTTACTTTCAGCTTCTTGGTGAGAATCTGAGATAAGTTCAGACTTCACTGTTCGCATAATCTTGTACCTTTGCTTTGTGCACCTTTTTTTTATCCAAAGGTGACAAATTTATTATTATTTTGTATGCTATATTTGTACCCCTATCCAAGGTAAAAAATGGAAAGGGATGTTGCATCTATATCTAGAATTGAACCTAACTGTTGAAATGTAAGCAAGTTGTGACATACGAACAACTTGACTCGACTAGGGCTTGACCAAACTCAAGTTCTTTTCTGCCTTAGTTCGAACTCAAGTTCGCAACTCAAGAAACATCCCTTGTTAGCTTTAGTTGGAGAAAATTTTTTGATTTGTAAGTTATTTTTTTTCCATGTATAAATCATTGATACTTGGAACAGATAAAACCCTTGTTAAGTACCATAAGCTAGCATGAAACTTAGTTGAGAAAATTCTTCAACTAACGTTAATGAAAGGAGGGATCCTGTCAAATGATTGCGCAATTTAACCTTGCGATATGCAGGAGTCATGATGAAATAAATTCAACGATTCAAGTTTTAATTTGAAGTTTCCTTCAGGCCACGGATTCAGATTACCAAATTTTGTTTTGCGTTTCTATGTCTATGTGGATGTGTTTCTTTTATAATTTAATGTTTTTAGGTTTAGGATTCTAAGTATGTCAAGAGCACATGCGTTTAAAATGAGGTGCATATATGTAATGGAAAAACGGATTATTAAGTAGATATATTTCAGTTACACAATATTTAAGAAGCCATATAAACTATCCAAATACTAAATTTAATGATGTTAAGCCTTTACATTTGGAGGTTTTTGATATATTAATTAACTATTCCCTATAAAGACAACAAAAAAGAAACAATGTCGATGCAAAGTACAAGATGTGATGACATTTTTTTTGAGTAAATTTTATATATATTGACAGTATATATACTATTGACAAGGGTTCATTTTACGTATTTTTAAGTGCATTTTATTAGTTGATTTTGGTTTAATTATTTAGTTTTATAACTAAAATAGCTAGGTTTTGGTAAAAATATACATTTTTGGTAAAAGTGACTAATATTGCATTTCTATTGATTTTAGTGGTAAAAACTTCATTTTATGCAGGATTAAATGATTCAATCACCAAAGAATGTCAAGTGAGGTGAAAAATAGATAATAGGTGATGAATTCAAGTGGTTAAAAGATAAATGAAGTGAAAAATGTTCAAGTGAGAAAATGCAAGTCAAGACAGTTTTGACACTTTTCAGTATTTCGACTATATCTAGAGCTACACTTATCGGATTGAGGTCATATTTATACCATTTTAAAGCTAAGAAAGAGACCTACAATTGGTATGAAGACATCGAAATCCAATTTTGCTGTTTTCATAGACAAAACGTCAAAATACAGAAGCTGCATTCTGTGGTTGGAAATTGAAACAGGGGTTTGACCAGGTGATGGTATTTCGACCATATCTCAGCCTACATAAGTCCAAATGGGATGATTCTTGATGCTATGGAAAGATAATTCAAAGAGCTACGACTTTCAAGCGAGCACAAGAGCAGATTCTGCCGTTTTCATGGAGAAATAATTCATGCAATCTGTCAAAAAGAAATTCCAGCAGCAAATCCTGACTTTGATACATGTGCAACTTTTCTTGAAAACTTTTTATGTATTTTAGTTGAATTTGCAGCTGCAATTTTGGAGATTCTTGACAATAATCAAGCAATGAGGTCATGGATGATAATTTAAGTTTTGTCTTAAACTCATCCAAATACCTATAAATACCCCTCACAATTCAAGAACAAAGGGAGACCTTTGCCAACCTTTGTTAGTAGATAGAGAGCTTAGAATAGATTAGTTTTCAAATTCAATAAAGCTCTTTGAGCTAGTTTCGTTTTTAGCTCTGTTAGATATTAGTTTTCATATTTCTAAACACCTTGTTCTAGATTTTATCTTTATAAATACACTTCTTGCGGGTTTGATTATCAAAGCTTGAGTGCTTAAAGAGTTGGAGAGTTTGTTTATTCTGTAATTGAATTAAGCTTTTATCTACCACCACCTAGGGTCGGTTCTACCACCCTAATCGGATTGGTTTTAATTGCTTTTCTATGGTCGGTTTTGCATATGAGCTTTCTCTACCATTTTTCCTTCATTTCTAACTCTTCGTCTACTTTATTAGAAGTTGGAGTTATTTTGATAATCATGTCTAGCTAGCTAGATCTATCCCTTGTTCTAGGAGTAGATGAAACTGGTTGGTGCAAGATTTGGATTTGTATGATGCTAGTTTTCACTAACCTTGTTCTTGGTAATTTATTAATCTTGATTTTCACATTTGTTAAAGCTTGATCATCTTTTGCAAATTATATCAGTTATTGTGATCGCACGACAGTGGTAAACAATAATGGAAAGAAGATTAATTGAATTCTAGCATGAAACACACGACAGTAGTGAATCACTAGAAGGGCTTTTCATAATATTTCACAAAGGCCTAAGATCATCACCGGTTGATTTTCACCACGATAGTAGGTGGAACCTAGTGATCGTGACAAAGCTTTTCTGCACGACAATGAGATAAGTATACATTTGGAAATGTTCCCTACCAAGACAAGAGTGAATTGTGACTACAAAGTACATGGCAAATCTGATCTTTACTAGCTAGTGGATTTAATTCCCCTAAAACATCTTTTCTTTTGACATATCTGTTAGTTGGGATTCATGCACTTAATCTGTTTTTAATTCTTTCATCAACACATAATTTGAAAAGTTTAGATAATAAGATAAGGTTTAAAACTCTGGTATTTGTTAAGTTGCTCCCTGTGGGATTCGACCCTTGTACCTTTGCTATACTATATTTCGATCTGTATACTTGCAGCAAAACGAGGTATTAGGTTATAACTTGTGAGTTGATTTAATTGGTAAATTTTAACCTCGTCAAGTTTTTGATTTTTATATCAATGCAAGTTTAAATCTGATTTTTATATCCGTTAGCTATAAGTATACAGGCCGAAACTGTAATGTAAGGTATGTATCGGGTCGATCCCACGAGAAGCAATTTAAACAAGTACTAGACCCTTATTTTTCTCTATTATTTAGACTTAAAATAAAATTGAGCAGAGAAAGTATATTGCTATAGTCTACAGATATGATACACAAATCTAGTTTAACAAATGCTAAATGCAAATGAAGAATTCTTACTCAAGAAAGACTCTAGAGATGTAGATTCCACTTATGGCATAATCAACACAAATGAATGGATTTACCTCTTGTTATTATTCTTGTTTAACTAGAGATTCATTTCCAAATTTACCAAGTCTCATTCTCATGATGAAATGGCCTAGAGTCGTTCAGTTTTCTCTATTTTCATGGTGAAATACTACTACTACTCTTGTTTTCTTTCATGAAATGCTAAGTAATCCACTTAAGTGTATCTTTATTTTCATGAACATACAACTTAAGCTCTACTCATGTGTTTCCATTGTTACTACCAATTCTCATTGAATAATAACAACTATAAACATGCTATTGGTGATCAATCAATAACAAGTAATCACAGCTATACAAGTAGACAAGTTAATACAAGATATAACAAGTGTAAATCACATTCAATTAGTATTATTTAGCCATAAGTTTCATCTACTCCCTAGATTAAGGAGTTTAGCTACTCATGAATGATTTAACAATCAAACTCACAAGTTTATTAATGCCAAACATCATAAAGTACAAGTATAAAAAAGATAAAAGAAAGCTTAGCCAATTGAAGGTGAATCTCTCCAATTCCTGCTATACTCTTGCACAATATGATTATAAGTGAAAACTCCAAATGCTTCTCCAAGAACTCCTAGCTAGAGAGAAACTAGATACCAGAAGGAAAACTAGCTACGTAGGTTCTGTTTTGCTTCTCCTTGTGTCTCTGCATAAAAGGTGGTAGAAAGTCTATTCCTCTCACTTCATAATTTCCTCCACTCAAATTGTGTAAAAAGAAGTCAAAGATATGATGTTTCCTTTTGTCTACAATTCATTTGGTCTTCTCTTTTATTGCAGAAGCATGTGCCACCGATTTCTGTCCCTCCAAATAGCTGGAAAAGTTGTGAGAAAGGTAAAGAAAAATGGCTGTGCCACTTGCTGAAGAGAGAGACAGATCTGAGCCTTGGATCCGAGGGATGAAAATGGATCCGAGCTCGGATCTTTAGGATCTGAGGACTTCCCATGATAGATCCCAGGTCGGATTGTCTGACCTCGGATACACTCCGCCAGAAGTACAGATGAGGGCTCGGATCCCTCTTTGCTCTCTCTTCAGCAAGTGGCACAATCGTTTTTCTTTACCTTTCTCACAACTTTTCCAGCTATTTGGAGGGACAGAAATCGGTGGCACATGCTTCTGCAATAAAAGAGAAGACCAAATGAGTTGTAGACAAAAGGAAACATCATATCTTTGACTTCTTTTTACAAAGTCTGAGTTGAGGAAATTATGAAGTGAGAGGAATAGACTTTCTACCACCTTTTATGCAGAGACACAAAGGAGAAGCAGAATAGAACCTACGCAGCTAGTTTTCCTTCTGGTATCTAGTTTCTCTCTAGCTAGGAGTTCTTGGAGAAGCATTTGGAGTTTTCACTTGTAATCATATTGTGCAAGAGTATAGCAGGAATTGGAGAGCTTCACCTTCAAT